GCTTTATGATCAAAAGAAGAAGAAGAAGAAGAAGAAGAAGAAGAAGAAGAAGAAGAGTATGAATGGTGTTCCAGGACATCCCAAATGGGAATTGTAGCCCAGTTTTATTTTTGATTTCATGTGGTTCTAGCTGCCCTGGTTGGTTGCTGAGGCAATATGGGAAAAAAGGCTTTACAAAGCCATAACATTGGGTTAAATGGGTTTATCATTTGGTCGCTATGAAAAAAGATAGACATATAATAATATTGCCTGTGCACTCTTAAAAGAAGTAAAGCTGGTTATTGCAGCTTGGATGGGGATTTCTTGGGAGAGATGAATAATATTTCGTTGGCCTTGAATATGTTTAGAGTTTTATTTAGTAATTGATTTGTGTCTTATGTATAAGTAAAATTACTAATGCAATTGTACTGATAGTGTAATGTGATGTTAAGAGTCTACTTTGGATTTTTTTTTTAAACCTTAAAAGTCACATATTTTACTTGGGATTAAGAATCAAGACGGAATAAAACATCACAAAATAGAAAGAAAAAAAGAAAAAGAAAAGAGAGAGGCAGTTTTATCATCATGTAAAATATTTCGCAGTGTCTGATGATGATTGTGGACTTTAAATTTGCTTCTTAAAGGTGATTGAATTGTGTGTTTTAGTTTGGATTGCTTCATGATACCAACTACCTTACTACCAAGACAAATATTTTATAAATAAAAACTTAACTAAATTGATATTTATTAATTTAAAATTAGTGTTAAATATTTATATTGTTAAACAATTAATTTTTTAATATACTAAAAAATCAATATCTTTTATTTTATTAAAAAATTACTACTAAAATATTTCGGTAACTGCTGTCCTGTTATGAATTGAGGAAGGATGACTAATAGCTACGCACCATTAACATTATGCTTGCACGATACGGCAATGGGAAGCACAGCATGGTGTCACCTTTATATCTCGCTGTGTTTTTAGCATTGATGTGATGCCATAAACAATGTTTGTTGGGAAAGTCTTGTTTCTGTTGGCACGGATAATGCATCTGATGGAGCAGCTGAGGAAGTGATTTAGTGGAGTAGAACAATTTAAAGCCGATTTCTTTTAGAGGTTCAAGTTTGTGAAGACTGATAGCTGCTGTGATGTAGTGAATGGATATGTTTTTAGTTAGTGTGAATGATTGTATTTCAATGAAATTCCATGTCAATCCAATTTCTGTTTTAGCCCTTCTCCTTATAAATCCCAGTTTAGTATCTTTTGTGGAATTTTGCGTGGTTTGAAATGGGACATGGGAAATTCCCTTTTATTTATTTAGGTTCTCTGCTTTGGACGTCTGTTATTGTATGTTATATAAGCTTGTTGGTTAATGCTTAGAAACAGGTTGAAAACTACTATTCTGCATAGCAGAGTGCATGTGTGTTGTGTGGAGAAGGTAAGGGAACATGAGAACAGAATTTTTGAGTGTGTAACTTTGTGTTCAGTAACTGTGTTCGGGCAGCTATACTTTTGATTTACGGTAGGTATCCAAACAAAGAGTTCCTCAATGCAGGAGGGGTGCAGCAAAGAAAGGAGTCATCTTACTTCGAAGCTTGAAGGTGAGATTTGTTTTGGCAACAGCAGTGTGCTTTCATGAATGGCAGCATAGGAATCGTCCTTTGTTTATGCAGAAAAGCAACCCCTCTAAGGTAGTTATAGACTGATTTTGCAATTGCTTGAGAAAGGGTGGTTTAATCTCTTTAGTTTTATTTTAAAATACTGTCTACAAAGAGATACGAGTGTATGTTTTTTTTTTTTTCTTTTTTTGTTTAATTTAGCATAATTGATTTTTTATCTGGAGATTCATTTATGATATTATATGTATTTATTTAATATTATATTATACTAATTTAATATCATATTAAAATTATAAATTTATAATTTGACGTAATACTATAATATTATGGGTTTTATAGTTTTTCAGTATATCAAAGTTAATTATTTTATATCATAAAACTTTAAATTTTTAAATTTGACTTTTTTTTTATGGGAAATAGAGAAATATATTAAGTTATAAGAAATTACAACAGAATCTTCATCTCATGACATATAGCAAAATCAAAATAATCTAAGGACACAATCAGAACTATAACCTATAGCACTAGTAACAGATTTAAATTATACCCATGACAGTTTAAACTATTTCATGATAGATATAGACAATTAAGCAAAGAGAGTTATTTGCAACTAGAGATTAAATTTACAATCGATGTATAAGCTAAATAAGGTTACTAATGTAGAAAGGGGAGTCACTATGAGTATTAAGAACTACTGGACACCCTAACCTATTTAACCAGCTTCTTAGGGAAAGCAAGGGATTTTGACAACAAACAGTCCTCAACCCACGAGTTGCTACCCTACTTGTTCTTAAAGAAGAACAACCAAGAGGGGTATGAGTCTTTTCCTGACAAGCATAAGGCCCTCCAGTCGCCTCCATATACTCCCAATAATGTTCCCATCTTTGCATGTTGTTGAAACTCATTAAAGGAACTAGAGCCCCTTTGCCAGCTTGAAAATTAGGCTTCCCACGTAGACCATAGTTGGCATTACCAACAGCATCCCTTTCCTTTGGCAATAGACTAGTTGATCGAGAACTGGTGTGAACTAGGTTCGCCGAATTCGACCCCTACCAAGATCCCATCTGAGAAGATGCACCAAAGCAAGATTCTTGCCCTTTAAATATGAGAGACCCACTTCACCGGCAAAATTAATTCTAATTGTAGCCTTTGAAAATAAACAGATATAAATCCTAGAAAACCCAAAAAGCCACTGCCTTATGGTCCCTTGGGTTGGAGTTTCCAAAGCAAGACAACGACAAGAAGAAGGAAGAGATTAAGAGGAGGAAGGGAGGGGTAAGAAGAAAGGAGGGATAAAGGAACTCTTATGCCGGAGAGAAATCTTAGGAAGGAAAACTCGTCGCCACTACTCTCAACCCTAGAAGCAGTGTATGGGAGAAACCCTAGGGAGGAGAAACCCTAGGGAGGCTAGGACTTTAAATTAAGATTTGATTGATTGCCGTTCGTATATTGAAAAAGAGAAAATATTATCGTAGTGTTGTAAAAGAAATACAGAACCAATTAGAAGAAGAAGAAAAATTAGAGAAACAAAATGAAATAATGCAAAAATATATTATATTTCTATTCTTTCCTTTTCTATTTGTTCTCCACATATTTCTATACATTTGCAAAAGTACAAGTCTTATATATTGGGACTAATAGATGATAGGAGTTATAAGAAATTAATACCTATGAAATTAGAAGTTATAAGGATTAATTTCTTACTGATTGAGGGATTATAAGGAATTCCATTACCACCATCTAAATGCACATTATTATGAAGTGTTAATCACTATTATAATTATATGAAGATAATAAAAATTATTCTATTATTTAATATATAAATGCCATGTAAGCGATAGTATAAAGAAGTTGAAATATTCACAACCCGTAGGACATTAGTCTGCTTAATCACAACATACGGGGTCATAATGCTAGACCCAACACTTCAGACCGAAATGGTGTACATGTATTACGATTTACGAGACGATATCTGGCCCATTAAAAGGGTGCAAGCTGATGGGCTGGAGCTTTTTTTTTTTTTGCCCATTGTTGATTTGTTCTATTAAAATAAAAGGGTTTTCTAGGGTTTTTGAGCGGCTAGCAATCAAAGAATTTGTAAAACCAGAAGTCGCTGACGATGAAGAAAAGCCAGAAAGCACCGGCATTCATGCCGGAACTAGTCACCGACATTCTCCTCCGCCTCCCCGTGGAAACTCTCCTGCGATTCAGATGCCTTTCTACATCACTTTGCGCCGAAATTGACAGTCCAGATTTCGCCAAGAATCATCTCTGTAGGTCAATCCAGAGCAAAACCCGCCAAAAGCTAATCATCAACAACGAAGATTTTATGGATCCCACCGATTTCTTTTACGCTAATTTTGATAGCAACTTCGAATATACTATCCTACTCAACAACCCATTGAAATCTTCGTATCGCTGCACTTCGGTATGTGGTTCTTGCAATGGCTTGTTTCTCTTGGGTATTTTTGTTAAAGACCAAACCATGGATTTTGCCTTATGGAATCCATTTACTAAGCGGTATAGGAAGCTACCACCTTGTCCGGTCCAAACTCTTCCTGGGTACAAAAAATTTATCAGCTTTGGTTTAGGATGTGATTCTGCTCTTAATGACTATAAAACTGTGATGATTGCAAAGATTCACGACTCAAATGATGATGATGATGACGATGATGATTGTGTTCATTTCCAAGTTTGGGTTTTTAGTTTGAAATCAGATTCTTGGAAGAGGATTCAAGATGTGGAGGATGAACTAACCACCTGGGTGGGGAGTTTTGCAAACGGTGCTTTGTATTGGGGGTGTGAAAATAAGTTTGTTGGTTTTGATCTGGCAAATGAGGTGTTCTTTGACCTCCCACTACTGAATGATTGTGGCCCTGCAGCTATCTACTATGATATTGTGGTGGTTTTTGGAGGTAATGTTTACACTCCAATAATACATGCTGAGGAAGATACTATAGAATTTTACTTGTGGGTGGATGATGATGGTGGAGAAGTTGCAGGTGGTTGCTGGAGGAAAGAATTCACTTTGGAGAAAGAGAAGAATATTAGTTTCAGTCTTTTCCCACCTTTTCCTTTGGCATATTCAAAAGAGGGGGATGGGATCCTGCTTCATAAAGGAAATTTGATTTATTGGTATAACTTTGAAACCAAAAAAAGACGAAGGGTGAAAATTCATTTGATACCTGATATTCCAACTTATAATTTCCATGTTTGCTGGGAAAGCCTTGTTTCCCCTGGGAACAATACTGCATTTGATGGTGAAGCTGAGGAAGTGATATTAGGTGATTTAGAGGCTGATTCAGATGAGTAGAGCCATATGAAGCAGACTTCTTTTGGAAGGTTCTAGTTTGCACATATTTGGTTAGCCAGGATGGATGATAGTATTTCAATGATCGATGCTTTATTTCAACCCCACTTTTGTTTAGCCCTTTCTCCTTGGAAATCTTAGTACCATTTTTGTTGCATTTTGCATGGTTTGAATTTTGAAATGGGGCTTGGGTTGGGATAATCCCTTTGAAGTTCTAGGTTTCCCAGAATCCTAAGTGTTTGTATTAACTCTCCTTTATAATTTAGATTAAAACTTCCAGTTTCATATCATGAGGAGTATTTTGCAATTGTTTATATATTTATTTATGTATTGCAGCTTTGGAGTTTATTTTGTCGAACGTAGATTCAGCTGTTTCCATATTAAGTGATCTGGATATAGTTGTTTGAATGCTGAATCATATGTTAAAGTCCTCGTACCTTTGAGCATCTTTTCTTTTTTTGGGTCTTTACCGTTGAGCATCTTGGTAAAATGAGAAGGGGTTTTGCCTCTATTTTTCAGCAAATTCTTCTTCAATTTTCACATCTGATTTCAGGAAGTAGCCAAATATTTTTCCTTTAGCTGATCTAAACCAAGAAGAGGAAGAAAAGAGAGTCGTTATTCTAGTTTCTCTTCCATTTCTTTCCTCCATTTGCTTATTATGGTACATTAGCTTGTACTTGGCAAAAAAATCATCATTAGTTTCTTGCATAAGCAAACTGCTACTTTTGTGATTTTTGACAATGAGTGCTATTTTCCAGTTTAGTATATAATTTGAACTATAAAACACCTTTTCGTTTAACAATTTTGTGTGATGGGAACTTCAAACTTGAGACTTCTAGTGATCTTTGCCAGTCCTTCAGTTGCTGGTTGCTGAAAACAAATTGGTCACGGATGATGCATTTTCCCATTAATTTACAATATGTATTAGCTGCCTTTAGGAGCAAATAAACAGAGAGTGGCCCAGTACCTGTGGAGGGAACGTGGTGGTGGTGCTAGGAAGGATCCATTGCATGTCAGTTTGATAATTGTTTTTGATTATTGAGACATATACCTGGAGTGCTTGGTGATATATGACCATACTGAACTTCCAGGGATTGGATTAATAAACGGATCATTTTCTAGAAAAAGCTGAGCATACATGCAAAGCAAAAGAATTGTTAAAAAGAACGAAATAGGCAGTTCTATAACAATGAAATTTCCATGCCTCGATTAATGTCATCTCAAATTATTGGAACAAGAACATGTAAGTATATTTTTGTAAGAGATATTTATTTTACAATTAAAATTGTAAAACATAAATTATTGAATAAAAAGAGCCTTCAATGTCAAGAGTCTCCTCTAATTAATAGTTTTACTTGTGTAATGTAATGTAATTAGAATTACATAATACTTTTATTTGTGTCATAAAAAATATCAAAATACCTGTAATTAATTTTATTTAATAAAGATATTTAAATACTTTTACAACTTAAATTAGACACAATTTAGACTAACGAAACTAATTTTATTTTGTAATAGCTTGAACTCTCTTCCTTCACAACATGTCATAAACTCTTAACAAGTGGTTCGTGTTGGATCATCGCGCAAAGTCACAATAACGAAAAGGGAGGAAATTTTGATAAATTAAAAAAAAAGGTATGTTTAATTTATGTTGTATTAATTGAATCATTTTATATTTAATTTTTATAAAAATTTATAAAGTTTGACCTTATTTTTATCACCAACATCACATGTATATTTTTAATTGAACAACTAATAAAATTAAAGTTATTTTTTAATTTTTTTAATATAAATTAATTACTCCCTCCCTTTATTTTTAGTAGATTTAATTTTTTTTAACAAATAGAGATATAATAATTTATTAATAAAATTTTGTATTTATTACTAATTAAGTACTATTTAAATAACATTTCTTGTTTAATATATACTATAATTATCTTTTTAAAATGATAGTAAAATAAAAATAAACGCATTAAATAACATCATAAAAGAGAAAAGTAAATAACTAAATTTGAACATCCTAAATAAGAAATTAGATTTACTAAAAATGAATGAATGGAGTATGAAAAGCTATAATTAATACGCCTATATCTTGTACCCTAATTGTACATGTTATAAATTTCTAGGAAAAAAATGAAAAGAAAGAAAAAAAAAAAGAAATTAATGCTTTATTTATAA